CTCTTGCACCTCTGCCTCCAACACAAGAATATTCCCTGGGGCTGCCAACTAGAGGAGAGACACATGGAAAGAGTTGTTCCCAGTCACATCCATTCTACATCATCTAGTCAGCCAGCCCTCAGATCTGTGATTGCTCTCTAACAAGATTACTAGCGCTCCCTATCCTTCCACCCAAGATGTGTGAGCAAACATGCTTCTTGTTATGCTTCAAGGTTTCGTAGTTGTTACCAAGCATTATTGAAGCACCAGAGAACTAGATACCATCATTATTTGGCAGCAGATGTTCATCAAACATCATAGTCCAGAAACTCTTGCAAACTGAAATGTATGCAAGTTTTACAAACCAAGGAATTAACATCCCCTAAAGAAGGGAAAGCAATGAGCAAATGGAAGTTCTGCTTCTATTGTTGAAAGCAGCCACTTCTATTGGAAACTGCCATCACGTCAAGTATTGAGAATGAGTCAGGGTATCCGCAAAGCAATGAAAATGGTGAGCATAAAATGTACTCATATACTTGTGAAAATTATCTAAAGTATTATCTTTTGCTTACCAGATGAAGAGATATGCAAAGTTGGTTCTAGCAAACAAATGATGAGAGTTGACAATAGAAACATAAACTCGGCCCCAATTAATGAATTTGTTCATTGACCCTTCCAGCTGCAGATGGTGACATCTACTTTGGATGAAATAGGAGGTCTATAGACTGCAAGGAGAGTTTCTTTCCCCAAGGAGAGGGAGGTCAATTCAGTTAGTGAGCTTTGAGAAGCTGGAATGTTACCTTGGATCTGGAAATACTTAGTGATGCTTGTCAGGCTGGAGATCAAGTCGTCCCCCATCAGTTAATTACTCAGAACTTTCTGCATTGATTGAGTCCTGAGACTATGCATGATTCTCTCAAAGTTGGGGCTCATTCTATTCCATAAGAGATATTTTCTCCCCTCTTAGCTGGATTTTCTTGGATTATCAAAAGAAAGTAAGTTTGTGTGTGCACACAGGAGACCTGGCTCACACATCATATTTTCCTGTTCAGAGCAATCGGAGCTATTATCTGTTTCCTTTAACATGATGTCTTAGAATTGCACAACAGCCACAGTTAAGGTTTGTTATTTTCAGAAGTTTTGGATCTGATCAGCAGGTAAAGCATTTATTCTAGCTTTATCGTCTGTCATGGGAGCTGCAAATGATGCACTAGCACTTAGTTGCTGGTGAGCTACTGTCTAATGAGCAATGGAACAAAACTAGTTCCACTTAGTACAGTGTTCAGAGATACATAAAATCATGCATATAGTTATCCGTTACTCCGAATAACTTAAACAACTTTAATAATTATTCAGTTGTCTCATAATCATGACATTGCCAATCGTGATTCCTGATTAAATAGCAAGCTGGGTTCCTGTTCCTCATTGAAATGCAGAGGCCACCTTCATTCATTGCTGGTGGGAATGGGAAATGGTGCAGCCACTATGGACAAGAGTCTGGCAGTTCCTTGAAAACTTAAACATTGAGTTACCACATGACCCAGAAATTCCATTCATACCCCAAAGAATTGAAAACATGTTTACACAAAAATATGTATATAAATGTTCATGGCCGCATGATTCACAGTAGCCAAAAGGTGGAAACAACCCATTAAGAGATGAATAGATAAGCTAAACATAGTCTATCCATACCATGCAATATTCAGCCATGAAAAGAAATGAAGCACAGACATACGCTACCATGCGGTTGGATTTCAGAAACATGATGTTAAATGAAAGAAGCCAACACAAAAGGCCACGTGTTGTGTGATTCTATTTACATGAAGTGTCCAGAATATGAAAATCTACAGAAACAGAAGATTAGTAGTTGCTAGGGGTTGGGGGGAAAGGGAATGGGGAGTGACTGCTAATTGTTGTGGGTTTTTTTGGCGGGGAGGTCATAAATGTCCTGAAATTAGATAGTGGGGATCCTTGCAGGCTTCCTTTCCCACCTCCTAAGTCAACTGGCTGGGTTGTATTAATAAGGGACTCTGGGGGGAGATTGGAAGGTGGGCAAAAGGGAGATGCCATGGTATTTCTTGCTCTCTACTGGTGAAGGAAGGGGTCAGTTACTGGATAATACATAAGATGAGATAAAGGCTCATATATGAACAAATCAAAGAGCCTTAAGGTCTTTCTGGGGACTAAATTGTTCTGGCAGGATGAATTGCTTTCAATATTTTCAATTATATATTAATAAAGATGACTTTGGTTGCAAGAGCCAAATATCTTCCCCAGTCAAGCTTTTTTTTTAAATCCTCACCTGAGGACATTTTTCCATTTCTTGTTCAGATAGAGTGGGAGGGAGAGAGAGGAAGAGAGAGAGAGAGAAACATCGACGTGAAAGGGACACAGCGAGTGGCTGCCACCCGCACGACCCAACCAGGGCCGGGGACAAACCGCAACCGAGGTACGTACCCTTAATGGGAACCGAACCCGGGTCTCTCTAGACCACAGGCTGATGCTCTAACCACTGAGCAAAACTGGCCAGGGCCCCCAGTCAAGCTTAAAGAAAAAGCAAACAAAACAAAAACCCCAAACTAAACCAATAAACATTTGCAAATTTTTGTTGTTGGGGGTTTCTATGCTAGGAAAGCTGATGGAGTTGAAGAAAGAGTTGTAAGAACTATGGTCTCAAAGTAGAAACAAAAAAATCTGCCCTGACCGGTTTGGTTCAGTGGTTAGAGTGTCTGCCTGCGGACCAATCCAGCCAAGGGCATGTACCTTGGTTGCAGTTTGTTCCTGGCCCTGGTCGTGGTTGTGCAGGAGGCAACCAGTTGATGTGACCCTCATATGTCAATGTTTTTCTCTCTCTCTCCCTCCCACTCTGTCTGAAGATAAATAGAAAAATATCCTTGGGTGAGGATTAAAAAAAAAAAAAATCACCAGAGCTATCTATTTCTTTCTCTCTTCCCACCCCCCTCAATTCTGGTAGTTCTGTTTCTCTTTGTAAATTGGTCTTGTTCTCTCTTTCTACAGGTAGTCTTTTTCTGGCAGCAGGGAATATGACATTGATAGCTTTGCCTAGTTACCCCTAGATAAAGAGGGTGCTTCTTTCTCTCAAGTCTACACAGCAATTCCAGAGAAGGATCTGATTGGCTTGGCTAGGGCCATAGAGGGGCATGTTGCCTACCTTGTTCAAATGAAAGGCAACACATTTGTGAGGAGGACAGTGGAGCATGCTGGACAGGCTAAACTGAAGTCCATTGCAAGTTATAAATCTGCTGCTTTTATTGGCTTGGAAGACTGCTTTGGAATGTAGAAGGTGAAGGAGATCAGCATTAAGTTTTCACTATTAAAAGTAAGGAAGGCCAACCATGTCTGTAACAGCAGGTCCTTCTCAGTCTCTTGGAGATAGACCAGTTCATCAAAGGGATTTTTTATTTGTGTCTTACGCCACTTTTTTTTTCTATGAGATTAAATTTCTAGTTTGTATATTCACTCCTGTATCTCTCTCTAGAACTTAGTACAATGTCTGGCATATATTAGGTACTTAAAAATACTTGTAGAGGCCCGGCCAGTGTGGCTCAGTGGTTGAGCATCGACCCATGCACCAAGAGGTCACTGGTTTGATTCCTGGTCAGGGCACATGCCCAGGTTGTGGGCCAAATCCCCATTGGGGGGCATGCAGGAGGCAGCCAATTGATGTTCTCTCTCATTGATGTTTCTATCTCTCCTTCTCCCTTCCTCTCTCTCTAAAATCAATAAAGAAAAAAAAATTTTTTTAAAGTATTTGTAGAGTGAATTTTAAGGATTTAAAGCACAGCTGACTTGGAAGGAATTTTAGCAATAATTGAGCACATACTAGATGCCAGTCCCCTGTGCCAGAAGTTGAGGCTGCAAAGATGGAAAAAACCAAAACCTGGTGACTGCCTTAGTTGTGAAAAATTGGATTGAAAACATTGTCTAAGGATTCATCGTGGAGGGCTATAAATTCCAGACTATGGATTTTGTATTTTATTTGTGAGGAAACAGACTCACCTTACGGAGGTATTAGCTACTATTTCACGTAAAGATATGAGGCCACTTGTAAACTGACCTGGCTCTCTCCAAATGGCATTTGTGAGTACTGAGAAAAAAATGTTCATTCACATCTTAAAAGAGGTAAATGAAAAATCCCAAACTTTGAGTTTAAATATCAACATAATGAACCAAACACAAATTTTTATTTTATTTATTTTTTAACCAAGGACATTTTTCCATTTTTTGTTCAGATAGAGTGGGAGGGAGAGTGAGGAAGAGGGAGAGGGAGAAACGTCCACGTAAAAGGGACACATCGAGTGGCTGCCAACCAGCCGACCCATCCAGGGCCGGGGACAAACTGCAACCGAGGACGCACCCTTAGCAGGAACGAACCCTGGTCTCTGCACCACAGGCTGACGCTCTAACCGCTGAGCCAAACCGGCCAGGGCCCAAACACAAATTTTAAAGGTAAAAATTTACTTTGTTGCTTTTTAACACATCTTTTAAAAATTCAATTTAAAAAACATGTTTTTTTCTTTTCTTTCTTTCTTTTTTTTTGAGAGAGAGAGGAAGGGAGAGGAAAAAACATGATGTGGGAAAAACAGATGGGCTCCTTGCTGGTGATCCAGCCGGAAACCCAGGCATGTGCCCCGCTCGGAAATCGAACCCGGACCTCAGTCCAAGGGATGACACTCGACCTACTAAGCCACACTGGCTGGGCTAAAGTTCAATTTTAATGGTTAAGTTAACAAACGGCAGGCCGCAGGCTGTTCAGCCCCCGCCCCAAACGCAGACCCACTTTCATTCGGTGTCAGTTTAAGTCGCTCGAAAAAAAAAAACCTCTCCTTCCGGAAGTGTTTCCGTAGGGACCCAGTTTTTAGATGCAGCGCCTTGTCCCCACCCTCCACGGCGCTTTGGAACATTCTGATTGGCTGTGGTTCTGATCTCGCTACTCTGATTGGCCGATGGCATGCCGCGAGCGCGAAGAAGCCTGTTTCCTGGGATACGGAGGGGGCTGGCTGAGGCGTAGGGCCGGTTGTGGTGTGTCTGAGCCGGAACTCGGGTGTGTGCGGTGTCGGCCCGCACTCAGCCTCGGGGTACCATGGCCAGTGTCCACGAGAGCCTCTACTTCAACCCCATGATGACCAATGGGGTCGTGCATGCCAACGTGTTCGGCATCAAGGACTGGGTGACGCCGTATAAGATCGCGGTGCTGGTGCTGCTGAACGAGATGGGCCGCACGGGCGAGGCTGCCGTCAGCCTCATGGAGCGGCGGAGGCTCAACCAGCTGCTCCTGCCACTGCTGCAGGTGAGGGGCCCCCGCCGGCTCCCGCCCTCGCAGCAAACCTTACCGAGCACCTGCCCTGGGCCTGGCATTTCCCTGGGCCTGGGGGTCGGGGCTTCATCAGATAACTCAGCCCTGGAGGACCGAAAAGAAAAAAACAAAACCCACTTTAATGACTGCTTACGATGGGCCAGGCGCTTTACATGCATTTTTTGCCTGTTTGTATCTGGTTCCAGTATGTGTTAGCTGAGTGACCGGGGTGGGGGTGGGAGGAGTTATTTTCTCAGATCCTCCGTCTTCTGTAGAATGGGGTGCTGGCTACACGGAGTCCTGAGTGTGTGACACAGGTGAATCATGGGGGCTCCGTATTCTAAAGGACCTTAATACGTAGTAATAACGATATAAAACTAACAGTGAGCATCGACTGTGTTCTAAGCATTTTACACGTTTTATTTCATTTTGCAGATTTCAGGTTGTAGCTCCCCCATTTACTAGTTGTGGGACCTGAGCAAGTTCCCCAGCCTATTTGGGTCTGTGGTTTCTGCAACAGGGGAACAATAACAGAAACTATGCCAGGAGGTGGCTAGTATTAAATTAGAAGACGCATGGGAAACACTTGACAGTGTGTGGCACACAGTAAACGCTCAGTATTGGCTATTTTTATTTTAATGTGTTCTCATAGGGCATGTACCTTGCCTTATATCAGCTATGGTTTTTCCATTTACTTGTGATTATATGACTGATGTCTCTTCCCCATAGAGATTATAACCTCTATGAGGGCAGTGCTTTGCCCTATTTTTCTTCACTATTGTGTCCGGGAAGCCTAGTACAGCACATAAATAAATATATGGAGTAAGTGAAATGTGGTGAACGGTGAATGGGGAGGACTTCTTAGAGAAAATGAAGTGTTAAGCTGAAGCTTGAAGGATGAGCAATTGTCTGTAGAGGAACAGTGGAGGCAGAAACAAATATCTGGGGTCCTGGGCCCCCAAATTGTAGAATCTGAAACGGTAAGCCTAATAAAATATGAGTACCCATGAGATGCATTTTTGCAACTCATTATGGACTTGTACACAGTATGTCTGCCTATCTTACAAGGTTTTGGGAAGGATCAAATAAGATTATGTTTATAAAAAATAGGACACCTTTGTTTGTATAATGTTTTTCAGTTCACAAAGCACTTTGTATTATCTTAATCTTTGTCATGAACAAGGGAGATGGTTATTATCTCCATTTTACTGATGTAGGAAACTAGGACTCAGGAGGTTAAAACTTTGCATGATTACAAAACTAAGAAGAAAGGAATGTCGCATCCTTGGACTATAGATTCTGTTTTCCTCCCATTTTAAACCATTCCACTAACTAAACAAGAGCGCTATACAAATTTCAAGTATTATTTTAGTGTTCTCGATAGTTCTTTCTTTTCCTTCCTGATTTGAGATTTCATGTTTGGAATCATTGTTAAAGCGAAGGAATTGGTAAGTGAATTCATCCAGCTCTTTAAAATTTATCCGTAACCTCCCTATCTTTCTTTACTCAGGGCCCAGATATTACACTGTCTAAACTGTACAAGTTAATTGAAGAATCTTGTCCTCAGCTCGCAAATTCAGTACAGATCAGGTAAACTTCATTTTTTTTCTATATGTATGAAAAGATGTCAAAGTAAATGAAAATTAGAAAAGGCTACATGTTAATTCTTTAAAAAAGATATTTTTATTATTTTAGATTGTTTTCTAAGCACTTTAATTTTTTTTTTTTGAAAAATGGTTAACATTAAATGTACTGCTTCAAAATTTATTTTTCTGTATGGCTCTATCCTTTTCTTTCTTTCTTTTTTTTTTTTTTATCCTCACCCGAGGATATTTTTCCATTTTTTGTTCAGGTAGAGTGGGAGGGAGAGAGAGGAACAGAGAGAGAGAGAAACATCGATGTGAAGGGACACATCGAGTGGCTGCCACCCGCACGACCGACCAGGGCCGGGGACAAACTGCAACCGAGGTACATGCCCTTAGCGGGAACCGAACCCGGGTCTCTCAGGACCACAGGCCGACACTCTAACCGCTGAGCCAAACCGGCCAGGGCCTTTCTTTCTTTTTTTTTGTTAGTGTTCACCGAGAATATATTTCTTTTTTTTTTTTTTTAATCCTTACCCGAGGACATTTTTTGCATTTATCTTCAGATACAGCAAGAGGGAGAGAGGGAGGAAGAGAGAGAGAGACATTGATATGAGAGAGACACATAGAGTGGTTGCCACTTACAACAACCCCAACCAGGGCTGGGACAAACTGTAACTGAGGTACATGCCCTTGGTGGGAACTGAACCCGGGATTCTTCGTTCCATGGGTCGACGCTCTATCCACTGAGCCAAACCGGCTAGGGCTTATTTTTAGATAGAGTAGAAGGGAGAGAGAGAGAGAGAGAGAGAGAGAGAGAGAGAGAGAGAGACATCAGTGTGAGAGAGACACATTGATTGGTTGCCTCCCGCACAACCCCAACCAGAGCTGGGGATCAAACCTGTAACCCTTGAGGTACATGCCCTTGAGTCGTAACCCAAGATCCTTTGGTCTGAGGTCTGAGGCTCCAACTGCTGAGCCAAACTGGTCAGGGCTCACTCCTTTTTACTTTTTAATTGTTATGAGAATTCCATTTTTATTGACTGATGTGTTACTTTGACAAATATTATAATCAAGAAAACATCAGCAATGGTACTTTTCAGGATACAGAAATGACATTTTGGATTATCAAGTTTATTTTATCTGCCACCATTTTTATATGAAACTCTGAATTGCTTTTAAAATAGATTTATTTTAGCCCAGTCATTGTGGCTTAGTGGCTTAAATGTCATCCCATGGACTGAGAGGTCCCGGTTTGATTCCCGGTCAGGGCATGTACCTGGGTTGCAGGCTTGATCCCCAAGCGGGGAGGGTGCAGGAGGCAGCCAGTCGATATTTCTCTCTCACATTGATGTTTCTCTCTCTCTAAAAAAAAAAAATTAATAAAATAGATTTATTTTAGATAAATATGAAATGTGGAAAGATTTTCAAAGGGCCTACCTAAAATACACACCTCAATTTTCTCACTCAGGATCAAACTGATGGCTGAAGGCGAATTGAAGGATATGGAACAATTTTTTGATGACCTGTCAGATTCTTTTTCTGGAACTGAACCAGAGGTTCACAAAACAAGTGTAGTAGGTATGAAGTTCTTCTGAGGAGAGCAGAGACTGTGTTCATTGAAGTGAGCACCTTTCTAGATCATGTCTATCATTACTCTGCAGTATCTGCACAAACACAGTAGGGATGTTCCCCATGTTTTGGTTTGTGTTTATTGCCTTGCCATTTGGGTCTGTGTTTAAACGATTGTCTGGTGGAAAAACATCTTCTGTTTTGTCCATGATAGCCAAAACAGGTATTAATTAGCCTGATCTGGGGGCTTTTAGGGTTTCTCAGGTCTTTCCCACCGTCCTCTGGATCACTTGTCTGCATTTCACAACTCTTAAGTCAGTGTCATCAACTAAACTTATATGAAGAGAAGTAAGTAAAATTATGTTATTGGTACAGTTTGTAAGGTGAGGGCATACATGACATTTCTTGATGCTTTTCTATTAGCTTTATATCCATGCTCCATCGACCTGGCTTTTTTCATGGTAGTTTTTGTTATTCAACATCAGTTATCGATAACTTAATTACCTCTCTCCTTTGTGCCAGGATGTGGACTTACAAGAGATGGACCTTCTTTGTTTTAATTCTCACCTGAGGATTGATTTTAGAAAGAGGAAGGGAGAGAGAGTGAGAGAGAAACATCGATGTGAGAGAGAAACATCGATTGGTTGCCTCTCGTATGCGCCCCGACTGGGGACTGAACCTGCAACCTAGGTATGTGCCCTAACCAGGAATCAACCTGAGACCTTTTGGTGTGTGGGGTGATGCTCCAACCAACTAGGCCATACCAGCTAGGGCTGGACTTTCTTTTTACGGAGATTACATTCTGGTAGGGTGGGACCAGATGGAAAAAGTAAACAAAGAAGATAATTTCAGATAGATAGAACAGCCATGAAAAAATATACTGGGTGGCCCTGGCCGGTTTGGCTCAGCGGTTAGAGCATCAGCCCGCAGACTGGAGAGTCCCGGGTTTGGTTCCCACTAAGGCCACGAACCTCGGTTGCGGTTTGTCTTTGCCCTGGTTGGGGTCATGTGGGTGGCAACCACTCGATGTGTCTCTCTCAGGTCGATGTTTCTCGCTCTCCCTCCCTCTCTCCCTCCAGCTCTATCTGAGGATAAGTACAAAAGTGTCTTCGGGTGAGGATTAAAAAAATAAAATAAACAGATATATTGGGTGGATACAGAGGGTGGAGTGCAGGTGGGAGGACTGAGCCCTGAATGTGGAGAAACCAGACTTGTCAGCAGTGGGGGAAGAACATCCCAGGCAGAGGGAATAGCAGCTTCAAGTGTCTCTTTTTTATTCTTTGGAAGGAATAATTGCAACAAATGGTCATCAAATTTGTGTATCCTGATTTTATTTAATGCCTTCTCCGTGTCTGTGTCTTATTTGATAGGTTTATTTCTGCGTCACATGATCTTGGCCTACAGTAAGCTTTCTTTCAGCCAAGTGTTTAAACTGTACACTGCCCTTCAACAGTACTTTCAAAATGGTGAGAAAAAGACAGTGGAGGATGCTGACATGGAGCTGGCCAGCAGAGAAGAGGGCGAAAGGAAAATGGAAAAAGAAGAACTTGATGTATCTATAAGGTAACGAGTTTTTCTGACAGGGGTCCTTTTCTGCAAAATAGATAACTGCAGGCACAGTAAATCCTCATTCGTTCCGAGTTCGTACGCTGGCTGCCATCTTTTTGCCCCTCTGGATCCAGGAAGTTGACCCATAAGGTCTGCATCAGGAGGCTCCTTGCCCTGTAACTTCTGATTGGGAGGCACTGTTGGGAAGTCCAGAGGGCCGAGGAGGGTGAGGTCAGGATGTTATTCATTGGCTTTCTTCCTTTGAGGTCACAGTGGGCTTGCTGTAAGGTCACAGCTTCTACCAGGCCCTCTCTGCATTTGGTAACTAGGAAGATTTCCCAGGCCTGGTGTGTTAAGTGCCCCTGTTACTAGCCCCAGGGACTATGTTGTCCCTTATGGTTTCTCTGTTCCTCCCCCTATTTTTGTCAGTGGTCCTTTATTGAACTCTTCTCAAATTACTCCATTTGAATGTACCATTTGTTTTCTGCTGGGATCCTGACCAATAGTGTTTATTATATCAGAGTGAATTAACAATTGATTAATTCAGTGAAAATGTATTGAGTGCCTGCTGAAGTTTAAGCACTGGGGACATGGTACCGTTGCTCACCTCGTTGTTCAGGCTCAAAGCCCAGGAGTGGCCTTGGTTCCTTTCTGTCCTTCACCCCGACAGCCAGTCCTTTAGCAGATCCAGTCAGCCCTTCCTTCGCAGTATGTCAGTCCTTCCTTCACTTCTGTCCGTCACCCTGCCGCCCGTGGTCTCCTTACCGAATCTCTGCTGGATGACCTCTCTGGCATCCTAACCAGTCTCCTTGCCTCCACTCTTGTCTCACTGTGGTCTGCAAGCTGTATTTATACATACTTCTTGGTTCTTTTAAAAAGTAAATTTTCATTTTTTTTCTTTTTGTGATCTTTTCTAATGTTTTACTGCATCTCACTTTAGCTCCCCCTTTTTTTCTCTTGTTTTCTTAGTTATTGGAATTATTTTAGGTATCCTCATGGAAATTATTTTTCTTGCCCTAGAAATTTGTATTAAAATTAGAAAGAGGAAAAAATGAAATTAGAAAGAGGAAAGTAATAATGAATAGCTTGCAAATCTCCCATCTTACAATGAAATTATTTCTTTTTGAAAATGAGAACCTGTTAATTTAGAAGGGAGAGAATAAATATTCAGTCAACAGATGTTTATCACGTGTTTTTATGTATTTTTTTTTTTTAATTTCTCACCCGAGGATATATATATATATATGTATTTTTTTTATCCTCACCCGAGGACAATTTTCCATTTTTTTTGTTCAGATAGAGTGGGAGGGAGAGAGAGAGAAACATCGACGCGAAAGGGACACATCAAGTGGCTGCCACCTGCATGACCCAACCAGGTCCAGGGACAAACTGCAACCGAGGTATGTGCCCTTAGTGGGAATCGAACCCGGGTCTCTCTGGACTGCAGGCTGACGCTCTAACAGCTAAGCCAAACCTGCCAGGGCCGAAGATATTTTTTCATTTATCTTCAGATAGAGTGGGAGAGTGGGAGGGAAAGCCAGAGAGAAACATCAATGGGAGAGAGACACATCAATTTGCTGCCTCCCCCATAAACCTGGCCGGGGACTGAACCACAACCAAGGCATCTGCCCTTGACTGGACTTGAATCTGAGATTCTTCAGTCCACAGGCTGATGCTCCAGCCGCTGAGCCAAACCAGCTAGGGCTATCAGTTTTAAAAAACCCAATTACAGCCTGGCTGGTGTGGCTCAGTGGTTGAGCATCCACCCATGCACCAAGAGGTCACCAGTCCAATTCCTGGTCAGGGCACATGCCCAGGTTGTGGGCCCAATCCCCAGTGGGGGGCTTGCAGGGGGCAGCCATTCGATGTTCTCTCTCATCAATGTTTCTATCTCCCTCTACCTCTCCCTCTCTCTCTAAAATCAATAAAGGAAAAAATTAAAAAAAAAACAAAAAACGCAAACCACAACAAAACCCCAATTACAGAAGACAGTGCAAATGGAAATTTAGCTTCAGCTTGTCACTTGCTCGTTGTTGCTGAGGGTGGCTCCGGTCCTGCGGTAAGAAGTCAGGCTTACAGGGTTACAGCGGGTGAGGCTGCAGTGGAGCCTGCTGTCTGCAGACTGCTGGAAAGGTCTCTGTGCTTCCGAACGGACCCCACCAAAGTAGACGTTCTCTGGTGTTCCTTCTCTTGCCAGTGACTTGTTATAAATCTCCCAAATTCATGACTGTGGTCAGCAAATACTTAGCGAGTGCTTCCTGTGTGCCAGGCACTGCTGGGGGCTGTGCGGTGAGTGGAAAGGGAGAGTCCCTGCCCTCATGCAGTTAGGCAGGCAGGTCAGATAATAGAGAGGTGAGTAAATTGAGAAGTAAGGTAATTTCAGCGCTGCCAGTGCACTAACGAAATGAAATAAGACACTAGGATAGAGAATAACAGTGGGGAGCTGTTAGGGAAGGTCCCTTGAAGACTGGGAGCTAGGTGATGAGGAAGCCAGCCCGGAGAAGAACTGCCGGAGTACGTGGCAGACACAGCCCCCAAGACAGGACAAGCTGACATCTTGGAGGGACAGACAGGAGGATGGTGTGGCTGAGCACACGAGGTCAGGGAGGGGTTGATCCCTTCACGCACTGGGGAAGGGCTCCGGTCCTCATGGCCTCCTTGTTCTCCGTCTCAGTCTTGCCCTTCCCCCGTTTTTGTCCTGTCACTACACCACTCAGAACTCTCCAGAGAGTCCACACATTCTCCCAGCCTGGTGTTTGAGAACTCCACAGTTGACCTTTCAGACCTTACTTCCTGTTCTCAGCTTGGATCCTTTACCCCAGCCGCCAGGTCTGCTTGTGTGCCCCCGATACGCCAGGCTTTTTCCTGTTCTGCCTCTTGTTCTCTTTCCCCGGAATGCCTTCTTCCTTCCTCGTCCTTTTCTCCACTCCTCCCGACTTTCAGGTCCTCACCACTCCAGCTGGAGTGACCTCTCCCTCTTAAAGTACAGAGTTTGTACTCATGCTTGGTGTTTGTCTCCCTGGGCTGGTCCTAGCCTTCACCGAGGGCGAGTGCCCATTTAGACATTGTATTTACTCCCAGGGCCTCGACTCGTGTTTTATGCCTTGCACATACTCAAAAAAAAGACAAACCCTTGTCGACTGATCAATCGTATGTAAAAATTTGCAATTATAGTGGTAGATTTAAGCCCTTTAGAGGAGTTTTCAGACTCCTTTTGAGAATCTGATGAATGCCATATACTATCTCCACATTAAAAATGCACATTCGGCCCTGGCCGGTTTGGTTCAGCGGTTAGAGCGTCGACCTGCGGTCCTGAGCGACCCGGATTCGGTTCTCGCTAAGGGCACGTACCTCGGTTGCAGTTTGTCCCCGGTCCCGGTTGGGGTTGCGTGGGAGGCGGCCACTCGATGTGTCCTTTTCACATCAATGTTTCTCTCTATCTCTTCCTCTCTCTCCCTCCCATTCTATCTGAACAAAAAAATGAGAAAATGTCCTCGGGTGAGGATTAAATAAAAAAAGCACATTTGTACTTACCTGGTAGGGGAGATACCGTGATCACGAAGGTGGTTTTCCCAGTTGTCCATTGCACCCCAGGTGTGCTGATCCCTGTTATTTCCCCAAATGGGGGAAACTCAAGTGCATCACTTGTGGTATTGGGGGACTGCGTTCGTACCGTCCTCTGGAAAAAATAAGCATATTCATGTAAACTTTCCAGTTTTACAAGGTTCATGGATTCCTTTAAGCGCATCCACGAACCAGGTTAAGTGTCCTTGATTTATAGCACTAGTAAGTGTAAACTGCCTCAGCTAATAATTGGATTAATAATCAGTATATTTCAGCCCTTTCTCTAAATGGAATACCTCTATTGCTTCTTCTTTTTTTTTTTTTTTTTATCCTCACCCGAGGACATTTTTGCATGTATCCTCAAACAGAGCAGGAGGGAGAGAGGGAGGAAGAGAGAGAAAGATCGATGTGAGAGAGACACATCGAGTGGTTGCCACCCACACGACCCCAACCGGGGCGGGGGACAAACTGCAACCGAGGTACATGCCCTTAGCGGGAACCGAACCCAGGACTCTGTGGTCTGTGGGCCGACACTCTATAACTGCTGAGCCAAACCGGCCAGGTTGGTAAATGTTACATTAAACAAAAGTAAATAAAGTTTCTCTCTGCTGGATTTCTCTAATATGTATCATGAAATCTCCAAGCAAGATTTGGTTTGGCTCAGCAGTCAGAGGGGTCAGCCTGTGGACCAAAGAGTCTTGGGTTCGATTCTAGTCTAAGGCACATATCTGGGTTGCAGGTTCAATCCCCAGCCCCACTCAGGGTTGTACAGGAGGCAGCCAATCAATGTGTCTCTTTCACATCGATGTTTTTTTTTCCTCTCCCTTCCTCCCTTCCACTCTGTCTAAAAATCAATGGACAGATAGCCTTGGGTGAGGATTAACAACAACAAAAAGGAATCTATTTGACTTTGTAAGCATTACCATTTTTGCTATGATGTATTGTATTATTTTCGTTTTGTGTTCTTTTAGAGAAGAGGAGGTATCTTGCAGTGGGCCTCTGTCCCAAAAACAAGCAGAGTTTTTTCTTTCTCAACAGGTATGTTAATTCTGTAATTTATCATGAACTTTAAAATAATCCTGTGACATTGTTTATCATGGCATATGCCTGTTATGTTGGTAGGTTTATGGGTAACTCTACCCCTTGTTCTTGGTCCTCTTTTCTTCACTAACAATACAAATGTAGCTATGTCTTACTTCTTATTTTGTGAGTGATTTTATTTTTCAATTAAAGTTATACTGCAGGTTCATTTAATAATGGTGTGACTAACACAGCTCAAAACCATGTGATTCAGAAGACTCATATTCCCTTTCCCCAACATTATGGACATTTTCTTTTTTTCTTTTCTCCTTTATTGATTTTAGAGAGAGAGGACGTGAGAGAGCGAGAGAGATAGATATGTCGATGAGAGAGAACATCGATTGGTCACCTCCTGCATGCCCCCCACTGAGGATCGGGCCCACAACCTGGGCATGTGTCCTGACTGGGAATCGAACCAGCGACCTCTTGGTGCATGGGTTGGTGCTGAACCAGTGAGCTACACCGGCTGAGCTGTTCATCACATATTTACCCATCCTCTATCCAGCTACAATTTCATTTTATTTATTTATTTATTTATTTATTTTTTGTTTTGGTTAATCTTCACCTGAGGATGTTTTTCCCTTGATTTTTAGACAGAATAGAAGGGAGGGAGGAGGGAAGAGAGAGAAACATCAAAGTGAGAGCGAGACATTGACTGACTGCTTCCTGAATGACCCCAACTGGGGCCGGGGATCAAACCTACAGCCCAGGTATGTGCCCTTGGCTGGAATCAAACCCAAGACCCTTCAGTGTGCAGGCCAATGCTTTGCTGGGCCAGACTGACCAGGGCCCAAACATTTTTTGTTGGTGATTTGGAGGCATACTTTTTCATTTTCTCAGTAACATAAGCTGAACATTTTTCTCCCATGTTATTTTCAAGCATAGACGTTTGATTTCTTTGCTAGACTTTTCTAGTTTTCCCTAATTTTGTTCTTAACTTCATTTCTGCAGAAAGATGTAATGCTCTAGATAAGAGTGGTAGGAACACCCCTGCAGATGAATTTCAGACAGATTGGGAAACCCATCTAGACAATTAGGTAACTATCGAGGAGAAAATGTAGCTGGATCCTCACCTCGTCCTCACACCTCAGTACACTACAGGCAGATTAAAGGGGCAAACGTAACTATTTAAAGCTGTAATTAAACTAGAAGGAACTACATATTAACTTTTAACTGCTCTGTGGGTGGGGAAAGACTTCTACACATAAAAGCTGTGGAAGAAACGTGGAAGATCATTTGATTTTTTTCAGCATAAAAATTTTAAATGTCGGAACATGTTCTAACAAAATTAAAAGGCAAACAACAACATGGGGAAATATTTGTAATAAATATGACAGTCAAAGGGTTAATAGTTTTGTTTTTTTAAATCATATTTTCAAAGACTGATGATGAGACAAAATTTGTAATGTATTATTAAATGAAAAGAGCATGAAGTAAACGTATATATTCTAATTTTGTTAAAAATTGTGTGTGTATATGTGTATACACACATATATACATACTTATATACACACAGAAAAAAAGATGTCTGGATTGAGATACACTGAAGAATTAATAGTGTTATTTCTGGTGGAGGGATTACAGATGACTTGTTTTCTTATGTATGCTTTTCTATATTTTGGAGTCTTCTTTAATGATATAATGAATTAAAATGGCATTAGAAATTATTATTACTTATAAAGAAAAATTTTTCTAGGTAGAATTGAAGTAAAGTGTCTATAACCCAGTTAGGTACCAGCATTTAATTTGGAACTAGTTTTCTACATATTTTATATAATTGTTGCTTGCTGTCATTCATATGAAACAGTTCACTAGGAGTAGCACACCTGGGCACCAGAAGGCCCTTTGCGGTGCTGGGGATACACACTTCCTGCCTCGGAAGTACTCAGTCTGAATTGAGCTCAGACTGGCACTTTTAATACATCGTTTTTTTAAAAATATGTTTTTATTGATTTTTTTTTTTATCCTCATCCGAGGACATTTTTGCATTTGTATTCAGATAGAGCGGGAGGGAGAGAGGAGGGGAAGAGAGAGAGAAACCTCAATGTGAGAGAGGCACATCGACTGGTTGCCACCCACATGACCCCAACCGGGGCTGGGGACAAACTGCAACCGAGGTACGTGCCCTTAGCGGGAACTGAACCTGGGACTTTCTGAACTGCAGGCCGATGCTCTAACCACTGAACAAAACTGGCCAGGGCTGATTTTTTTAGAGAGAGAGAGCTAGAAACAGCAATGTGAGAGAGAAACATTGATCGGCTACCTCCTGCACACCCCTACTGGGGAATGAGCCACAATCCGGGCACGTGCCCTGACCGGGAGTCGAACCAGGATCTCTCATTCCATGGGACGATGCTCAGTCCACTGAGCCACACTAGACAGGCTTAATACATCTTTTATTTTTAAAATTTTTTTCTTTATTGATGTTAGAGAGAGAGGAAGGGAGAGAGATATAGAAACATCAATGACAGAGAACATCTACTGGCGCCTCCTGCTTGCCCTGACCGGGAATCGAACTGGCAACCTCTCGGTGCGTGGGTTGACACTCAACCACTGAGCCACACTAGCCAGGCAACACATCTTGATAGGGACCACAGGAAGGGTTAGTACAGGGGACCTTATAGGACCTTACCTAGTCTAGAAGGTGATAGAAGCAGGTGGCTGAAGTCTAAATTGGGGCTGGAAGGATGAGCAGGAGTTTGCATGGGAGGTGTGTGTGGACGGGGTGGTGTGGACGGGGAGTGGTGTGGATGGGGTGGTGTGGATGGGGTGTGTGTGGACGGGGTGGTGTGGACGGGGAGTGGTGGTTGGGAGACTTCCTCTATCTGGAAGAGGGAACAGTGTTTTATATGGTCAAGAGGAGAGAGTGACTGCAGAAAGGAAAATAACCGTCTGATGCTATTTACTATAATATTTACATATGTTAATTGGCCATTTTTTTCTACTGAGTTGTCATGTTTCAATTTCAGGCTTCTTTGTTAAAGAATGATGAGACTAAAGCCCTCCCTCCAGCTTCTTTGCAGAAAGAATTGAATAACTTGTTGAAATTTAATCCTGATTTTGCTGAAGCGGTGAGTCTTTTCCAGAATTTGCTGCTGAGTTGAAAAGAAATGACAAGGCTATTCTTTTTTTTTTTCTTTATTGATTTTTAGAGGGAGAGGAGAGAAAAAGAAAGAAACATCGATGAGAGAGAACATCGATTGGCTGCCTCCTGCATGCCCCCCACCGGGGATCAGGCCCGCAACCTGGGCATGTGCCCTGACCGGGAATCGAACCGGGCACCTCTTGGTGTATGGGCCAACGCTCAACCACCTAGCCACATTGGCCGGGCGACAAGGCTACTCTTATGTTGAGTAGTCATGAAAATGAGAATTCGTCCCTCGGTCCAGGTTCTTAGAGAGAAATCATTTTGTTGGCAAGTAAACAGCCTAGATTGTAAAACTGCCCTTCCCACTCCCCACCTCCGGGCCAGTGGGGATTTCTTCAACCTAATGATGTTCTTTTTCGTTCATCATTTCTTTGATGCTGTGAATTATGGACAAATGATAGAATAGAATGAATTTTTATTTTATTTTAATTTATTATTACTTTTATTTTTTTTAATCCTCACCTGAGGTTATTTTTCTGTTTATCTTCAGATAGAGTGGGGTCGGGGGGGAGAAACATTGATGTTACAGGGAGACATCCACTGGTTGCCTCCTGCATGATCCCAACCAGGATCGGGAACTGAACCACAATCAATGCCCTTGAAGGGAATCGAACCCGTGACTCATTGGTCTGACGCTCTAACCGCTGAGCAGCATCAGCCAGGGCATATTATCATTACGTTTTTAGAGAGAGAGAGAAAGGGAGAGGGGGAGAGAGAAACATTGATGTGAGAGCGAAACATTACTCTGCCTTCTGCACACCCTCTACCAGGGATTGAGACTAAAACCCGGGCACATGCCCTGACCGAGCCACACCAGCCAGGGTAGGGTAGACTGAATTTTAAAAAAATATAGGGCCTACCCTAGCCAGGTAACTCAGTTAGAGCGTCATTTCTGGCTAGGGTAGGCCCCATATTTTCAAAAAAGTTGCAGGTTTCATCCTGGTCAGGGCACATAAAAGAATCAACCAATGAATGCATAAATAAGTGGAGTAGCCCGGCCGGTGTGGCTCAGTGGTTGAGCTTCAACCTATGCACCAAGAGGTCGCTGGTTCGATTCGCAGTCAGGGCACATGCCTGGGTTGCGGGCTTGATCCCCAGTGGAGGGCGTGCAGGAGTCAGCCCATCAGTGTTGATGCGTCTCTCTTTCACTGACATTTTTATCTCTCTCTCCCTTTCCCTTCCTCTCTCTCTAAAAAAAATCATAACAAAACATTAAAAAAAAAGTGGAACAACACGTTGATGTTTCTCTCTTTCTCTCTCCCTCTCTCTCTCTCCCCCTCCCTTCCTCTCTCTCAAATCAGTTTAAAAAAAATTGGTGGCCTAGCACTGGATGGTTTGGCTCAGTGGTTAGAGCATTGGCCCTCAGACCAAAGTCGGGGGTTCAATTCCCTGTTAAGGGCATGTACCTTGGTTTTGGGTTTGATCCCCAGCCCTCGTTGGGGTTGAGCAGGAGGCAAAAAATTAATGTGTCTCTCTCACTTCGATGTTTCTCTCTCTTTTCCTATCTTTCTCCCACTCTATCAAAAAAAAAAAGCAATCCTTAATGGATTTTTACTCTAAAACCTAAATTTGACAGCTGACTTATCTACATGTAGAAAGATGTCTGTCTTGTTTCCTACTAACCGGGATCTGCCTGTTTGGAGGGAAGTTCAATTCAGTGAATCAAACAAAATAAAAACAGTTTCAAAATAGAAGATAATTAACTCAGTAAACTTTTTTAATACCTGAGCTAAATGAGTTTTCCCCTCCACCCTCACATGGGTCCCAATATAACCAGTGACATAGCGGATGTATATTTAGGATAAACGATGACACAAGTAAGTACTATTGGAACTCCCGTTTTTCATTTGGGGACTCCCCCGGGGAGAAACAGAGTATCTTGAATCTGCTTTATTCTGCCTGTGGGGAAAAGATGAGCCTACACTACGACCCTCTTGTTGGAAAGGTGCAGGGTGCAAGGGTGTCTGCCTCCCGAGGAACTCTGAACTCGTCTTACACATTTACAACGTGGGGATTGTTTCTTGTTTCAGCATTATCTCAGCTACTTAAACAACCTCCGGGTCCAAGATGTTTTCAGCTTCCACGCACAGCCTCCTGCATTATTTTGACCGCCTGATTCTCACTGGAGCCGAAAGCAAAAGTAACGGGGAGGAGGGCTACGGGCGGAGCTTGAGGTACGCGGCTCTGAACCTGGCCGCCCTGCACTGCCGCTTCGGACACTAGTAAGTCCACAGATTTTTGTCCACGCAGAAATGGAAGACGTTAACTTGCAGATGTTAATTAAAAGGAATTTAATAAAAAATAATGCATTTTAGCCCTGGTTGGTTTGGCTCAGCATTTAGAATGTCAGCCCGCAGACCATAGGGTCGAGGGTTTGACTTCCAGTCAAGGGTATGTACCCGGGTTACAGGTTCAGTCCTCGGCTCAGGGTCGTGCAAGAGGCAGCCAGTTGATGTGTCTCTTTCTAATCGATGTCTCTCTCTCTCTCTCTTCCGCCTTCCCCCTCCCTCCCACTCGAAAAATCAATGGAATTCATTGATTTATTAATTAATATCCTCACACCCTGGCCGGTTTGGCTCAGCAGTTAGAGCGTCGGCCAGAGAGATCCAGGTTCGGTTCCCACTAAGGGCACGTACCTCAGTTGCAGTTTGTCCCCGGCCCTGGTTGGTCATGCAGGTGGCAGCCACTCAATGTGTTCCTTTCACGTCGATGTTTCTCTCTCTTTTTCTCTTCCTCGCTCTCCCTTCCATTCTGTCTGAACAAAAAATGGAAAAATGTCCTCAGGTGAGGATTTTAAAAAAAAATTAATATCCTCAGGTGAGAATTAATAACAAAATAAAATGATGTATTTAAAAGAAAGAGAAGAAAAGAAAGAAAGGAAGCTTATTGTTTGACCTAGATTTGTCAGTAATTTTCAAAAGGGGAGCTTTTTCACTGGACAGAGGTTAATGAAAACCTTCTACCCAAACAGTCTCCCTCTGCTGTCACTATTTAACATTGCTATCTTAGTACATGGCTTCTTTCTTTCATTACTTCTAAGAACAACAGCCATTGAATTAAAAGAAAATTAGGTCACTAGGTCAGAGATTCCCAAAAGGATTTTTCAGAGATAATGGGATACAAAAGCTATTTTCAGTATGTCAAAAAGCCAAAAGAAAGTTATGCCTTTACTGGATAAAAGACTGGTCTGGCTTATTAAAGTCACATGGTTGTGCTTTCGGGTGGAAGTCAGACAGCTTAGTGAGGTCACACTTGGCTTATACCATTGCTAAGATATGCCTAAGATTTTGATGAATAAAAATAGGAAAATTGATTAATTATTTCATACAGTTAAGTGGATAAAATCTTTCAAAACATGGAGGCTGTTTTGGAAACAATGAAATAATTTGAATAATGGCACAAAGGTAGGAAAGTCCTGATTGAAAGAGTCTCCCCACCCCCTGTGACTTTTTCCCATTCAAAATAAATGTGGTTTCTGCTACAGGTATCTTTGAATAGAGACCCTAGAGTTTATTAATGGAAACAAAGTCCAGAGTTCAAGAATTAAGAGTTCTACCCCTTACTGTATGGGCCAGGCAACCCCCAAGAAATTCTATTAAATTCTGGTTGTTGCATTTTAAAGGGACATAGACTGAAGGTTGTGTGTGGGACAGTCTTTGAATATCTCATTGGAGACATTTAAAGCCATGTCATATAAATGATATGGAAAGGTTGTGAGAATATTTAGCCTAAAGACAAATGATTTAGCCAAGCATGTGTTTGACGTCTTAATGTAATAAAAAGTTGTGTGAAAAGAGCTTAGATTGACTGAGGGTGTGACTACTAACGATGAGTGAGAGCTGGTTAGTGCAAGTTAAAGGGCAAAATATTTTTGCTCATTAAAAGGAGGAAGTTTCCCATGTAGAATCTTCTGAGAAAGGTGTCAGTGGAGTTCTCAAGCCTAGACCAGGGTTGTCATTAAGGCAATTCAAGCATGAGATTAATAGTTGTACCCTAAAATGTTTAAGGCTACTCCAGACTCCATGAGTTTGTAAGATTTGATATTATTATGGTTTAATAATGAACTTATTTTTGTCTGCCCAACTTATCTTTTCTTTTTTGATTTTAGAGAGAGGAAAGGAGGAGAGAGATAGAAACATCGATGAGCGAGAACATTGATTGGCCGCCTCCTGCATGCCCCCACACTGGGGATCAGGCCCACAACCTGGGCATGTGCCCTGATTAGGAATCGAACCTGTGACCTCTTGGTGCATGGGTCTATGCTCAACCACTGAGCCACACTGTCCAGGCTGTCTGCCCAACTTAAAACTTTTTTTTTCCCGCCCTGGCCGGTTTTGCTCAGTGGTTAGAGCATTGGCCTGCGGTCCAGAGAGACCCAGGTTCGGTTCCTGCTAAGGGCACGTACCTCGGTTGCAGTTTGTTCCCGGCCCTGGTTGGGTCGTACGGGTGGCAACCACTCGATGTGTCCCTTTCACGTCAATGTTTCTCTCTCTCTCTCCCTCCCACTCTATCTGAACAAAAAAATGGAAAAATGTCCTCAGGTGAGGATAAAAAAAAATTTTTTTTTTCTTTATTGATTTGAGAGAGAGAGAGAGAGAGAGAGAGAGAAATCGATGAGAGAGAACATCTTGCACGCTCCTCACTGGGGATCAGGCCCACAACTTGTGTGTGCCCAACTATAATAACCTCTTGATCAGGGCCTTTCCTTTTGTATGTACTCAAGGTAAATAGCAACACCATTTATAATATTTATCAGTAACTTATTTCACAACAGCGCCCCCCTAGGGTTTAGAAATTTGTATGCAGCCTTCTAGATACAAATACTCTGTTGAGGTACAGAATTTCTTTGTTTTTATAATATTATCAATGGATAGGCAGCTAATTACATGGAATTTATTTATTTAAATAATAGTATTAAAACATTTTTTTTTTCTTTATTGATTTTTAGTGAGAGAGGCATATGCCTGGGTTGTGGGCCCGATCCTCAGTGGGGGGCGTGCAGGAGGTGGCCAGTCAGTGTTCTCTCTCATCGATGTTTCTATCTCTCTCTCTCTCTCCCTTCCTCTCTCGCATGGGTTAGCGCCCAGCCACTGAACCACACTGGCAGGTCTTGTAAATCTGTTTAAATATAAGTCCTCCCTGCCCTGGCTGGTTTGGCTCAGCGGTTACAGTGTCAGCACCTGGACCAATGAGTTGTGGGTTCGATTCCGGTCAAGGGCAAGTACCTCGGTTGCGATTCGTCCCCAGCCCTGGTTGGGGTTGTGCAGGAGGCAGCCACTCGTTGTGTCCCTTTCATGTCGATGTTTCTTTCTCTCTCTCTCTCTTCTTCTCTCTCCCTCCCACTCTATCTGAACAAAAGTGGAAAAATGTCCTCGGGTGAGGATTAAAAAAACATATATATATATCCTCTCTGACCTCTGGCACCTTAGTATTTGAACCAAGATTTAAAGGAATTAGGGAATGATACAAGAGCAAGTGCAAAGGCCCTGAGGCAGTGGTCTACTTGGCATATCTGAGGAGGAGCAAATAGTGTGATTCTAGTGCTATAAGTAAGGGGGGAATTGAGGGGAATGAGGTGGCAGGGGTCAGAGCATTTAGGGTCCTGTAGGCCCAGGTAGGACTTTGGCTTTTATTCCGAATGACATAGGAAGCCATTGTTGAGAGGCTGCAGACTTTCTGCTCTGGCATTTTGAAAACTATAGACAGCTAGTGCCTTTCAGATATTACAACCACTTTGCCTCCAGTTCTGTTACTGAAAATTTTGCCAGAGGTTTTTCTGTCTAGCAGCAAAACCTTAAGGTCCTTTGAGGATTTTGCCTGACTTTAAGTTTCTGTGTTGGTAATCTACCTTTTCTTCCTACCTGGGAAAAATAACCTCTCTTTAGTCCTGTTTTAGCATACAGTTTTCCCAAAAGCATTTTCTCTAAACATACCATTATTTGGTCACCACATGTTCAATAAAGTTAAATCAACTGATATTTATTGAGGACCTGTGTATGAAGATATGCTTCATACCCTCAAATAGCTTATGGTCTGTTGCATCTCATTACTAAAAAGATGTAAAAGAAATGTAAACTAGGTAAGAATGTATCTGGTTTCTGTATTCAAACAAGTAGTAATTGAGGAACAGTCCAGTGCTCCCCGATTAAAGTGAGTTGTGTGAGGCTGTTGCACTCATGTTGAAAGAAAATTCCTTACGTAAATTTTCCCTGAAATGATACCCATAGAACTTGTTTTAAGATACTCAGTGACCCATTGATACCATTTCTATCCTGTGACTTGCCACTGGGAAACCCAATGTTTCAGACTTTACTTGTACCCTCCATGGTTTGTAAACTAGTTGAAAAAATAAAATTAACACAGATTAAATAAATAGATGGTGTACACAGTAGTATTTAAGCACTGCTAGGTGGGGTCCAGATCGCCTCTCTGTGGGAATCTTCATAAGTGCGAGTTCAGTGGGGCCAAGAATATTTGAATGTCCACAGAAGTTGAGAGGTTGGGGGAAACATCAGAGATGGAGGGGAACCACATGGGCAGAAAAAAAATAATCTCAGATGTGGATAATCCTAAAGTGCTTTAAAACTAGTTTTGAAAGCGTTTAAAGTATCAAATGCCATAAGTAAAAAAAAATTAAATGCACAAGGGAATGCAATAAAAAGTAAAATATTGTATTCCATCCATGTCCCTTCTCTCCCTTAGACAGCTAAAATAAAACTCTTAGGAGCTGAGATCAAGACAAGCTAACCCTTGATGCCCCTTTAGTAGAAACCCTCTGAAGAAGGGGTAGGTCCTGCATCTCCACTGCTGGGCAGGGGAGTGTGCCTCAGGGCATAAGCCCATAGTGACAGCTTCCAGCCAGAGGCCTGCTCTCCGATGAATTACTGTGCAGATAACTTTCTGCTTTGTTGCTTGTGCATGTTTTTGTGGTTGTTAATGAGATACTGATGTTCGGTCTGTCATCAGTCAGCAGGCAGAGCTCGCCCTGCAGGAGGCAATCAGGATTGCCCAGGAGTCCAACGATCATGTGTGTCTCCAGCACTGCCTGGTAAGGCCACCCTCCTGCCTTGGGAGTTCTACCCAGGGGTCCAGTGGGCCTTTGGAAGATCCCATTTAATTCCGGTTTTTTGTAGTCAGAACACAGTCCTTAGCAGGACGGGAAACTAGTTAGGTCGTGGTGGTGATTCAGGAAAGGCAGCTCATATTTATTTATCTTTTTTAATTCACGACATCTACACATTTTAGTGCAACTTGCCATGCAAAACTACCACATTAAACATTGGCATGAACCAAAAGGTGTATGCAACACCTTGTAACCGAATGAGAAGTTATCCTGTGAAAGCATAATCACCAAGGACAAGCAGAACACAGAATTCATTTAACCATCACCTGAGAAGCTCACTTTCTCAATTGAAGGCCATAGAGGGGCTTCATGCCTTTTTTCTGGAACACTTGCCACTCACTTGCTGTCAGAGATGAAGATCAGTGGCTTGTCTGAGAGTTTTCATGTGTTTGACGGGCTTCATTTAAGTTCATACTGCATGAAAGAGTATGTTAGAGGATTTATTTTGTTCCTTGTTAATTCTTTCTGACAACCATGCTGATATTTCAACAGAACATTAACCATGGTCATTGTTAGATACATTTTGATGATTTCTCTTGCCAGAGCTGGCTTTACGTGTTGGGGCAGAAGAGATCTGATAGCTACGTTCTGCTAGAGCACTCGGTGAAGAAAGCAGTGCATTTTGGGTTACCGGTAAGGCTCATCTTACTGTGAGATTGTTTTAAACAAATGGTGTGGTTTTATTCTTGGTAGTTTCATATGACCTTAATTATTAATTAAACCAGTAAATTCTGTTTGATAGGTTTCTCCCTGCTCCCTTTGTCCTAATTACATCTGTGAAAGTTCCACTTATCAATTTGATGAGATTGCTTTTTGGTTTATTGATCAACATTAACTTCCACTTATTTACTTAGAAAAATTTCAGGAAAGGGTTATTTTTAAACCAGGGATTGGCAAACGCTACAGCCCTTGGGCCCAATCTGGCTGCTGTCTGTTCATGTGTGGCCCTTGGGCTAGGAATGGGTTTTACATTTTTAAATAGTTGGAGAAAACAACAAAGAATATGCAACAGACACCAGATGTGGTCTGAAAAACCTAAATTATTTACAATCTGGCCCTTTAGGGAACAAGTTTGCTGACGTGTTTAACAGTAAACGAGGCCAGGAACCAGTAAACCTGATAGGCAGATTTGTCCTTTCTCATTTTAAGTGACAGGGGCAGATCTGAACTATAGTTCTCAATGACAGATACCGGGGACTCCGAGAGGGCAGAGTCCCCGCACATGGAGTAGTGAAGGCTGTTAGAATCTAGATTCCTGTGGCACAGAGAACCTGATTCCATCTCAAAAACAACCTCCTGAAAACTGGACAGTAGGCAGTGTGACTGCTTAAATATCTGTCTCATACAGTTTGCAACAAATGGCAGGAATATTGCAGGTAATCATGTGCGGTAATTTAAAGTATATGCTTTTCAAACCCGTAAATTGCCCATTGACTCATTTCTGGGAAAGTAGAGTTACACACACAGAATTGATGACGATGACAAACGTGTCTCCTTAGAATAAAGGATAGACTTCTTCAGTACAATTTTTGTTATAGATTTAAGCTGTTTTTTTGTTGAACTTTCATCCTAGGAAATTATACTAGGAGTTATTGAAAATAAATTATGCTCATAATGGGCATCCTTTTTAAATCTCCTGCTGCATAATGTACCCAGCACTGTTTGACATATTATCTCATTTTAATCCTCACAACAATTCTTTGTAATAGCTTGGGTGCCCATTTTACAGACAAGGAAGTTGAGGTGTGGCTAAGAAGCTAAGTGACTGGCCCCAGGTCACATAGTAAGTGGCAGAGGCAGTGTTTAAGCAGAGGTCCACTTAATGTAACAGCCCCGGCTCTTCCCAGTGTACCATCACTTTCTCTTCCAACCCCAGTTTTTTAGAACATATCTCATATGGGTCAGGCTATGAGCACTTTCCTTATAAAATTTAAATTTTAAATAGTGCTGTCACTGTGCATGTGCTGAAATGTGAAATATGCCAAATTTCTGAAGAGCAAAACAAACTCAGTCATGTAATCTCTATCTTGGGTCATGGTATCTGTCCCCTTAGTACCTTGCCTCCCTGGGCATACAGTCCCTGGTTCAGCAGAGAGCTTTCGCTGGGAAGACAGCAAACAAGCTGATGGATGCCCTAAAGGACTCCGACCTCCTGCACTGGAAACACAGCCTGTCAGAGCTCATCGACATCAGCATCGCCCAGAAAACGGCCATCTGGAGGCTCTATGGCCGCAGGTGGGTCTTCAGGCAGGCGGTCAGGGCCGTGGGGGTGTGGGTTCTTTCAGAGACGAGCAGAGGATAGCAGCCTGGCTCTGTGAAAGGCCAGGCAGACAAGTCTTTTCTCCTTTGATGGAAGTTGTTCATGCAGAGAGTTAAAGACAGTGCTTTGTAGTGTCAAAACATTTTGTACTTTGCACAGACTTTGCAGTCTTTCCCCGTGTTCATTATTATTTACTCCTCCCAGCTGCTCTGTGGGTTATGTCCAGTGTAGGATGCATAAACCAAAGTTCACACATCTGTCTGATCTTCCCAAGACCATGAGTGAAGTTAATAAGTGACAGTCAGGACGCAAACCCAGTCTCTGAGTCCAAGCACAGTGCCCTCGTGCTCTGAGACGGGCCGCAGCTCTTCCTGTTCGCAGGGGGCGTGGGCCGTGGTAGCTCGAGTGAGCATCCCCTGGACCCCAAAGTTACGTGAAGAAAGGGGTGTGTTCTCTGGAATGTCTCCAGCCCTGTGTTTAATTTTCACTTAGCCTCTTTAGCTTGGAAGTAAAGTAAACTTCTGAACCAGATTTAGTGCTGGAGCCCTGTCACGGCCTCGCCTCTCCCCTAGACAGTCTGCTGTGTTTAGGAATTCGTAATGGATGGAAGTGCCTCCTTGGCCAGTCTTGTTTTTGTATGTGAGGTAATTTTTTGGCACGATGTGGTCTGAACTAGCTGCAGACACTGGCCACTGCGTATATTGCCAGAGCAGCTGGTACCAGGATGGCATCAGGTGTGAATTCACTCCTGAAAATGAATGACTACACCATGATCACAGGGACAGCTAGAGGCGATGGGGGTAGGGGTCTGGCTCCCGGAGCTCCGGGTTGTGCAGTAAGCAGGGCACGCTTCCTCTGGGGCCGCACAGCCAGGGTCCTTGCCCACTCTGCCGCTCCTGAGGGCTGGAGGGCTGACACGGAGCCGGGGCTTAACTCCCTTCCATTTGCACTCAAGAGAAGAGTGGGGTGTGGCAGAGGGCAGCCTGAGTCCCTTGACTAATGGAATCCCTGGCCGTCCCCTCCCCCAGCACCATGGCGCTGCAGCAAGCCCAGATGTTGCTGAGCATGAACAGCCTGGAGTCGGTGAACGCGGGTGTGCAGCAGAACAACACGGAGTCCTTTGCTGTCGCGCTGTGCCACCTCGCGGAGCTGCACGCGGAGCAGGTAGGTGGTGGCCGTGCGGCAGGTTCCGGAATGGGAGGCTCTGCTGTTTCTTTCCTCTAGTGCTTGAGAAGAGCACTGGACATGTCTGGGACAGGGCTGGTTGGATGCAGGTGGCTGAAAGGACATCCATCCCCAGTGGAAATGGACTGGGTGTGGGGTCTGCAAAGTTTGTTGAACTTGGGGTTCCTTTCGGCATCAGCGAAGGGAGTAAGGGGTCAGCTGTCTCCATGTGAAAATGGAATAGAAAGGAGTCTTTGCAGTTTCAGGTGGTTGAGCTGTGTGTGTTTGTAGGAGAGGGAGCATGGTAAAGGGTTGTTAAAATGGTGATCACTGATGTTGGTCATGCACTTGCTCTGTGCCAGGCCCTGTGCTCAGTGTTTCACATGTATTATCTTACTGAATCCTAACAATAGCCCCATGAGGTCACTTTATTATTATCCCCATTTCACAGAACAAGAACCTGAGATCCAGGGAGCTAAGTCCTGTACCTACAACCAGTGCATGTCAGTCAGGTCTCCAACCCAAGTCTGATCAACTCCCAAGGACAGTGGAAATAACCTTGACTTGCAGCTCCAGTAGTTTTACACGGTTCTCTTTATCAGGGGTTGATTGAAGGGTCTCTCATGCTGCTTTAGGCTCTCGCTCCTTTTTCATGGGAAAGAGGTCAGGGAAACCACTCATCTAAGCCCTCAAGCTCACTGAGCACTGCCTCACTGAGAACATTTCCTGGATCACTCCACCATCTCTGTTGACGTGGTATCCATTATTGCTAGGTTGCATCGTTACACTCAGTGTTTCCTAATCTGCAGCCTAGAGATCTTTGGGTGGTTTCCAGCCCTTTCAGAGGTCTTTCCTGTATTTTAGCATTTTTCTCCCCTTTATGGAGCTGTGTAAACACAGGGGTGGTGGGCTCTGGCTGATGGGTTCCATGCACCCTCATCAGCTGTTTTCTTCCTGCTCCTGGGAGGAGCGCGCAGGCTTTCTGACCCCCCGACAGCAGGCCGGCTGCACTCCCTGTTTGCTTTCCTCCAGGAATGTTGCATATTTATCGCTTTCTTGGTGTGTTTTCCTCTTAAAGGCACTAGAACCTCTTTAGCGTTCTTTTCCTCTCCTGGCGCCATGCTTAAGTGGGACATTTGCAAACAGATGAGTCAGTGAACCTTCAGTTAGGTGTTCCACGTGAGCTTTGTGTGATTTCCCGCTCCTCCCCCACCCCCGACAACTTGTCTCCTGTTAGAACATCGACCATGGCTATGACTATCACATTTTTAATTACACAGGTTAGACTTACACCTGTAAAATTATGCTTGGCCAACTGTGGAGAAGGCAGCTTTATCATGAGCCTTCATTTGCACTTTTATTTCCTTTGTGTGTGCTTTGCATTGTGTTCTGAAATTGATCTCCAAACGAACTGGATGCTGCACTTGGGTCTGGCAGTGACTAGGGCTCGGCTGGACCTCTAAGGAAGCTATGCTCTGAGCTGCAGGCTCCGAGCTTCCTGCCACCCAGAGGGGTGCTGGAGAGGCGCAGCTGCTCTGCTCTTTCTGCGTGCTCCTGGCTCCTCATGTCTCTGTCTCGTTGCTCTGCCAGCCCCTGGAATGGCGGCCTCGCTGGGAATGGTTTCGGGTGGGAAAGTGTTGTCTCTGCCAGCCTGAATGTTTGACAACCCATCCAGATCCACAGGCCCAGCTCCCAGTGGCAGTCATGGAAACAGTTGGCAAGATCGACCAGTTAAAATCACAAGAATAGAGATTAGTGATCTTTTATTATAATCCAGTATAATTTCCACTTCAAATAAAATTCATCTGTGGTCCAACTGAGCTTCCATGTAGACAGAAGATACATTACCTAATCAAAGATTGGGACAAATTGAAAAGCTTTTGGAGTCAATAAGATAAAAGTAAACATCCCAACAATATGAGTGTAAAAAAGACACGAACATGCACTCACAGCAAAATCATAAATGGTCAAAAAATACAGAAAATTTTCAAGTTAGTCATTAAAGAAATTCCAGTTAATACGATGAAATACGTTCCACCAATCATAGAGGCAAAGATGCTGAAGTATGGGAGAGGAGAAAGGCTTAGAGTGCTGGTATGCAAGGACGTGGTTCACTTCCAGAGGGTAATTAGTAAAATATTAAAGAGCTTGGAAGTGTCTATCATTTTGCTCAGCGATTCATCTTCTGAGGTTTTATCCTAAGGAAATAGTTGGACAAGTGTATCAAGATAGTCATTGTAGCATTTTTTAAAATTGAAAACAACCAATATATCCCAAACTAGGAGATAATTTTGGTATGCCATAATTTATTTACCTAATAAATATGATATAGATTTGTATTTATTGACACTAGAAAGATTCATTCATTGAAAATATATTTATTGAGTGCCTACCATGTGGTAAACAGTGTTATAGGCAGTTTTCAAAAATACTATGTATGCCTATTACATGTTTTATTTTTATGTTCATAAGAGACGTCTAGGAGGATGTGTGCCATAACTGATTCTTTGGTGGGATGAAAAGTAATGTGTCTTTTTTCTTATTTACATGTATTTTGTAAGTGTTTTCTAGAGTGAACATGTATTACATGTGTAACTCAACACACAAAATATATTAGAACCTGAAAAAAAGTGGCCCTTTGATATCGGACGGCCTCCACCTCGTGTATTCCAGTCACTGCACCAGAAGGTGGATCAGCCTCCGACCTGCGCATGGTGCCGCAGGTGTGGCTTCCGCACAGGTGTGCTCATCGCATCGTCTTTCTGTTTAGGGCTGTTTTGCTGCAGCTTCCGAAGTGTTAAAGCACCTGAAGGAAAGATTCCCACCTAATAGTCAGCATGCCCAGGTACCCTGCCCTTCCGTGACATCCGATTTATTTCCGAAAAGACTGTTTTTGCTGTATTGTTGTCCAAGTGGGATAATTTAGAGTTTCTCCTCAGTTTCTCATGTCTTGATTCCTTCCTTTGTTTTTTTAAGATTTTTTTTCGAGCCCCACTGGTGTGGCTCAGTGGTTGAGTGTCGACCCCTGCACCAAGAGGCGGCCGGTTCGATTCCTGGTCAAGGCACATGCCCAGGTTGTGGGCCCAGTCCCCAGTGGGGGCATGCAGGAGGTGGCCAGTCAATGTTCTCTCTCATCCATGTTTCGATCTCTCTCTCTCCCTCTCCTTTCCTCTCTCTCTAAAATCAATAAAGAAAAAAATTTTTTAAAAAAAAGAATTTTTTCGAGAGGAAGGGAGAGAGAGGAACAACTATGTGAAAGCGAAACATTGATCGGCTGCCTCCTGCATGGCCCCTTCTGGGAATCGAACTTTCAGTACAGGGAACAGTGCCTAACCAACTGAGCCACACTGGCTAGGGCCATACTTGAAATATTTTAAAATATTTTTTAAACAGCAAAAATAAAAAAAAGTCTGTGAATTGTAAGGATGTTTGCTAAGCAAGCCAAATACTTCTATATCTCTGTTGAATAACGAGGTGAACACTTGCCATTTTTGATCCTAATTGTATTTTTTTCTTATTAGTTATGGATGCTATGTGATCAAAAAATACAGTTTGACAGAGCAATGCATGATGGCAAATATCATTTGGCTGATTCACTTGTTACAGGAATCACAGCTCTTCATAGCATAGAGGGTGTATATAGGTAAGAAACCTGGATGAATTCATTCTCAAATGGCTTTATTCTTATTTGTTTTGTGTGTGAATTAATGTATTAACTTTAGCTTAGGAAAAACCTTTTTTTTTCCCAATCCTCACCCGAGGATATGTTTAGAGAGAGGAAGGGGAAAGAGAAAGAGATCAATGTAAGAGAGAAACATTGACCAGTTGCCCCCCCCTACGTACCCCAACCAGATGCGATCTACTACCTGGTTATGTATCCTGACCAGAAATTGAACCCACAACCTTTCAGTGTATGTGATGATGTTCCAACCTACTGAGCCACCCTGCCAGGGCAGGAAAAACCTTTTTTCTATTTATTGCATATTCATTATAAGAAATGAGAAAATACACATAAGCAAAATAGAGAAAATAAGTACCACCCAGAGAGAGTCACCAGCATTCTGATATCTATCGTTCCAGGCTTTGTTCCTGTGTGTGTTGTGTGTGTGTGTGTGTGTGTGTGTGTGTGTGCGCACACATGTGCTTATACACATACACTTTTCCCCCTCTCTTAACAAAAATCATGTCACAGTTCTTCCCTTTGGGGGTCCAATTGCAGTCTAAGTGAGAAAGTAGGTATTCTAGCCCTGAAAGTGACTATACTTACAACCCTTGCTCTACTTCAGCATAACCACTTGTGTTTATTTTGTTTGTGTCAGAAAAGCAGTTGTACTACAGGCTCAGAACCAAATGACAGAGGCACACAAGCTTTTACAAAAGTTGTTGATTCACTGTCAGAGAATCAGGAACACAGAAATGGTGATCAGGTAAGGGGGTCTGCCGTGCGTGGCCCAGAGGGCACGCTGTGGTGGGATTCTCATCGGGTCTCCTGTTGCGGCAGTGTGCTGCTGTCCGTGGCGGAGCTGTACTGGCGCTCGTCCTCCCCGACCATTGCGCTGCCCGTGCTCCTGCAGGCTCTGGCCCTCTCCAGGGAGCACCGGCTGCAGTACTTGGCCTCCGAAACAGTGCTCAACTTGGCTTTTGCCCAGGTAAGTGAGCTCTGCTTTTTTAGCACATATTTCTACTCAAGAACTGGCAGGTCTGGTACTGCTTTTGTTTTGAAGAGGGTGGTAATGAGCTTTCAGTTCTTACTATCACCTGGCCTTGCCTAGAACCGACTGAGTTAGAACTCTAGGGGTGGAGCCTAGAATATTTTTTCTTTAATGGCTTCCCCAATGATTCTTTTTTCTCTTAATTAAGAACAAATTCACATAACTTAAAATTTACCATTTTAACCATTTTAAAGTATACAATTCAATGGATTTTAGAATAAACTATATCTATATATATTATATACCAATATCTCTCTATATGGAATATTTTAGAACATCTTCAGTGTTTAGCAAAAATCATACTATCTGATTCCAGGATATTTTCATTACCCCTTTCCCATTAAACAGTCACTCCCATCCTCTCCCTCAGCCCCTGGCAACCACCAAGTTACTTTCTGTCTCTAAGGATTTGCCTATTCTGTATATTTCATATAATGGAATCATATAATATTTGGCCTTTTGTGTCTGACTTTTTCACTTAGTATAATGTTCTCAGGGTTCATTTATGTTGTGGCATGTGTTACATCCTTTTTAATAGCTGAATCATATTCTGTTGGATGTGTACATGTTTCATCTACCCATCAGTTGATGGACAGTTGAGTTGTTTCCACCTCTTGGCTATTATGAATAGCTGATCTTAACATTCATGTACAAGTTTTTGTGTGAATATCTGTTTTATTTCTCTTGAGTATTCTTTTTTACTTATTTATTTTTAAGTAATTAATTAATTTTTGTTACAGATGTTCCCCCCCCCCTCCAGACACCCTCCTCCCTATCCCACCGCCCAAGCATTGTTGTCTCTGTCCATTGTTATGCATATATGCATATCAGTTCTTTGGTATATCTCCCCCCACCCCTTCTCTGAAGTTTGTCAGTTTGAACTGTACTTTTTTCTGTCTCTGGGTCTATTTTGTACATCAGCTTTTTCTGTTCATTATATTTCCATAAATGAGTGAGATCATGTAGTATTTGTCTTTCTCTGATAGGCTTGTTTCGCTTAGCATAATACTCTCCAGGTTCCTCCATGTCATCTCAAAGATAAGAGATATTTCTTTCTTACAGCTGCATAGTGTTCCATTGTGTACATGTACCACAGCTTTTTTATCCACTCATCTACTCAGGGACACTTGGGCTGTTCTTGAGTATTCTTAAGAGTAGAATTGCTAACATATGATAATTCAGTTTAACTTGATTGATTTTTTTTAATGTTTAACAAATGTTGCATTCTTGAGATAAATCCCAGTTGGTCGTTGTGTAGAGTTCTTTTAATATGCTTCTGGACTTGGTTTGCTAATATTTGTTGAGGATTTTTTTTTTTCCTGTAATCAAGAGATATTGGTCTGTAGTTTTCTTGTGGTAGCTTTGTTTTGCTTTGGTATTAGGGTAATAATGCCTCACAAATAGTGGCCTCTAATGTTTTTTGGGAGAGTTTGAGAAGGATTGGTGCTGATTCTTTAAATGTTTATTAGAATTCACCCACAAAGCTGTTTGATCCTGAGCTTTTCTTATTTATTTATTTATTTATTTATTTAATCCTCACTCGAGGACACTTTTTCATGTTTTTGTTCAGATAGAGTGGGAGGAAAAGAGAGGAAGAGAGAGAGAGAGAGAGAGAGAGAGAGACATCAACGTGAAAGGGACACATGAGTGGTTGCCACCCGCATGACCCAACCAGGGCCGGTGACAAACTGCAACTGAAGTACGTGCCCTTAGCGGGAACTGAACCCGGGTCTCTCTGGACCGCAGGCCGACGCTCTAACCACTGAGCAAAACCGGCCAGGGTCTGAGCTTTTCTTTTTTGGACTTTTTTGGTTATTGATTCAGTCTCTTATAGGTCTATTCAGATTTTCTTTTTTTTTCTTGAGTCACTTTTGGTAATTGTGCCTTTCTTCTTCTTTTTTTTTATCCTCACCTGAGGACATTTTTCCATTTTTTGTTCAGATAGAGTGGGAGGGGGAGAAAGGAAGAGACAGAGAGAGAGAAACATCGACGTGAAAGAGACACATCGAGTGGCTGCTACCTCCACAACCAACCAGGGCCGGGGACAGACTGCAACCAAGGTACATACATGCCCTTAGCAGGAACCGAACCTGGCTCTCTCTGGACCGCAGGCCAACACTCTAACCGCTGAGCCAAACCGGCCAGGACAGTAATTGTGCCTTTCTAGAAATTTGTTCATATAATTTCTCTGATTTGTTGGCATACAATTGTTTGTAGTATTCTCATATAATTCTTTTCACTTCCATAGGTTGTTAGTTAAGTCCCCACTTCCATTCATTTGGGTCTTCTCTTTTTTTTCTTGGTCAGTCTAGCTAACAGTTTAATTTTCTTGGTCTTTTCAGAGAACCAACTTTTAGTTTCATTGATTCTCTTTATTGTTTTTCTATTCTTTATTTTTTTCAAATACAAGCAAAAGTTTACTTAGAAAGTCACAGAGGCCCTGGCCGTTGGAGCGTTGGCCTGTGGACCAGAGAGTCCCAGGTTCGGTTCCTGCTAGGGGCACGTACCAAAAAAAAAAAAAGTCACAGAGGTAGAATAAGTGAGCCAGCTAGGAAACAAGGTACAGAGGCAAAGGAAGAGCCCTTGGGGGTTAGGAGAAAGGGAGTAGATTCATGTCTGGAAGAAGAAAGGGGAAGCGGCAGCCTGCTCCAGGGAGAGCAAGAGCACCGAGTCTTTATTTTTTTTCATCTTTTGTTCAGATAGAGTGGGAGGGAGAGAGAGAGAGAAACATCGACGTGAAAGGGACACATTGAGTGGCTGCCACCTGCACGACCAACCAGGGCCGGGGACAAACTGCAACCGAGGCACATGCCCTTAGCGGGAACTGAACCCGGGTCTCTCTGGTCCGCAGGCCGACGCTCTAACCGCTGAGCCAAACCGGCCAGGGCCACCTATTCTTTATTTTGTTTATCTTCGCTCAAGTTTTTATTATTTCGCTTTGGAATTTCCTTTTTCTAATTCCTTCCTTCCTTCCTTCCTTCCTTCCTTCCTTCCTTCCTTCCTTCCTTCCTTCCTTCCTTCCCTCCCTCCCTCCCTCCCTCCCTCCCTCCCTCCCTCCCTTCCTTTTTTCATGGAGCGGGAGGGAGAGAGGAAGGAAGAGAGAGATACATCGACGTGAGAGAGACACATCGAGGGGTTGCCTCCCACACAACCCTGACAAGGGCCGGGGATCGAACCTGCAACTCTTTGTTCCGCAGCCAACACTCTAACTGCCGAGCCAAACCGGCCAGGGCACACCTAGTTGGTTTATAGTGTTGTTCAATCTTTTATTTCCTTGCTTGTCTTCTGTCTAGTTATTCTATCCATTATTGATGTTATTGTTGAACTATTTCTCTCATCAGTTCTTTCACTTTTGCCTCATATATTTTTGGATTCTGTTTAGTGTGTATGGGGTTCTGTTTATGATTGTATCTTCTTGCTGCATCGATCTGTAATCAGTATATAATGTCCTTCTTTGTCTATTGTAATAGTTTTTGACTTGAAGTCAGTTTTGACTTGAAGTCAGTCTATCTTTACTGTCAGCCTACTTGTGTCTCTTAATCTAAAGTGAGTCTCTCACCTGTTATGTAGGTAGCATATAGTTGGATCATTCTTTTCAATTTATTCTACCAATCTCTTTCAATTGAAAAGTTAAATTCACTTACATTTAATATAATTATGGATAAGAAAGGACTTACTCTATTTTGCTATTTTTTTCTATATGTCTTACATCTTTTTTTGTTCCTTATTTCTGCCACTACTGCTTTCTTTTGTGTTCAGTAGATATTATCTAGTGTACCATTTTAATTCCCTGTTGTTTCTTTTACTATATACTTTGAAGATGTTTTCTTAGTGACTCCTCTTCCTCCAGTGATCCTTACACAGCTAATTCAACCCTTTAGAATCACCAATCTAAATGATTTTGGTGCTGAATCATCTTGTAAAGACAGAAATCTTTCCATAATGTGAGTAACTGCTCCCCCTGTATCTATTGTAGTCTGCAATCAGATTATCACATATTATATTTTCTAAGAGTATAGTGCACAGTAAATGTAGTACAAACATGTCAGGGAAAAGCTAAGCCAGGCCTGGCTTTCGGGAGAGAAGACCCGGGGAGGAAGCCCTTGCTGCAGTGGCCCTGCGTGTGGGTGTGCACGCTGCCACGATGTTTCTTTTTCAGCTCATCCTTGGAATCCCAGAACAGGCCTTAAGCCTTCTCCATATGGCCATTGAGCCCATCCTGGCAGACGGAGCTGTCCTGGACAAAGGCCGGGCCATGTTCTTGGTGGCCAAGTGCCAGGTGGCTTCCGCAGCTTCCTATGATCCACCGAGCAAAGCAGAAGGTAGGAAGCCATGCAGAGATGGTTAGGCAATGCTCTTGCAGAACACTTCTAAAATGTAGGACCTAGCAGAAGAAAAGACAGTACATTTGGGGTAGTATTTAAGTTCTGAGTGTTCACAATTTTAAGTTGACGTTTCACGCAGCATGAAAGTGCTTCACATGCATGTTTGTCATGAAGGCTGAAGGCGAATGTGTGGTGATTTACTCTATAGAATTGCTTCAGGCTGGAAGTCAGGACTCAACACCTTTTATAGAACCTTACTCTAGTGTATTTTTTTTCTTCTCAAAGAGTTGAATATAAAAGTATCGGTACAGCATAGGGAATATAGTCAATAATATTGTAATAACCATATATGGTGCCAGGTGGGTACTGGAAATACCAGGGGATTCACTTTGTAAAATAGATGATTGTCTAGTCACTGCTGTACACCTGAAACCGACACAAAATAATACTGAAAGTACACTGTAATTGAAAAATAAGTTAAGAAATGTGTTCAAGAGTTAATAAACACAAAATTTAAGTTTAAAAAGTAAATATTAAGTTTTGGAAGCCGTATGTGAAGTGTTGAATTAAACATGTGTGGCGTTTCCCCCCTCCATCAGCTCTGGAGGCCGCCGTCGAGAACCTCAATGAAGCGAAGAACTACTTTGCTAAGGTCGACTGCAAAGAACGAATCAGAGATGTGGTTTACTTCCAGGCCCGACTCTACCACGCCCTGGGGAAGACCCAGGAGAGGAACCGCTGTGCCATGCTCTTCCGGCAGCTGCACCAGGAGCTGCCCTCTCACGGGGTGCCCTTGATAAATCACCTCTAGCGAGCGTGCCCTGCTGGGCCGCTGTGCTTGTTTACACTCCCTCCCTCCACATAAATGTTTTGTTTAGAAAAAAAATTTTTTTTTCTTTATTGATGTTAGAGAGAGAGGGGAAGGGAGAGGTAGAAACATTGATGACAGAGAACATCGATTGGCCGTCTCCTGTATGACCTCCCACCGGGGACTGGGCCCACAACCTGGGCATGTGCCCTGACTGGGAATCGAACCGGTGACCTTTGGTGCATGGGTCTATGCTCAACCACTGAGCCACACCAGCTGAGAAAATGATGTTTTTGATGTCTGTCTTGTCAATAAACTGCATTAGGGTTTGTTTGTCATATTTTGCTGCTAGAATATACATATTTGTTTTGTTCTCCTTTTTCCTTCTGATAGCAAAGACATCAACTTTTTGTTAATAAACAGCTGTTTGTATAAGTGTTAAAGATTACGTTCTTTCTGGGCAAAATTTCCAACGTCTTATTAGAGATCGTGCACACTCCCCATCATTATGTACATTTGTTTACACATATGCTCAGGCAAGCTGCCTTTGGGTACTGGTAGATCGCGCCAGGAGGTCAGCGCAGGTGTTTCCATGGCTTGAATTTCCTTCTGCAGCATCTCTGCTTTTTCGGACTGAATGGTGCTTGGAATACGTGTAGATCCCTGACTGGAGTTAGCCTTGGGACCAATGCCAAGCATATTCCATTCACTTTCTGGGTGTTGGCTTTCTTGTATTTTCTGCAGGGGTATATTTTTCTATAACTATAAATGAGGGATGAGGATAACTCTAGGAATTTGTCATGAATAAGGCGATTCTAAATTAAGAAAGCGTCTGAAGCTCAGGTGTGTAGATGCCATCACTCCAACACACAGTGTATCTAATTTACTTAACCTGTAATTAAGCAGAGGCCAGTTATTACTTTGTCTGTTCATGAACTTGTTATCCTTAATGTTCACAGAAAAACCCGTGTTTCAAGTCTAAAACAGCAACAAGACACCAGCCAAATTTTGCAGCTTCTATCATTGGCTCTTTCTCCATTCAGTTTCAACCTGATGGGAAATAATTACTCTCCAAAGCTCTTTGAAGCGGTGTAAAATAACTCCCACTCATTGGGGTGTGTTCGCTAGCCAAAGATGGCTGCCCTGGAAACGAGATTCCGTGTCGAGATACAGACTTTGATTGGTATGTTGATGTTTAAAAATCTTTCCTTAAATGTATTTGAAAGGTTATATATGTAGAGGGTAAAAATTAAATATTCTTTTTTTTTTTTTTTTGGTACGTGGCCCTAGTGGGAACCAAACCCGGGACTCTGGTCCGTAAGCCAATGCTCCAACCGCTGAGCCAAACCAGCCAGGGCAAAATTAAATATTCTTTTTTTTTTTTTTAATCCTCACCCGAGGATATTTTTTCCATTTTTTTGTACAGATAGAGTGGGAGGGAGAGAGAGGAAGGGAGAGAGAGAGAGAAACATCGACGTGAAGGGACACATCGAGTGGCTGCCACCCACACGACCAACCAGGGCCGGGGACAAACTGCAACCGAAGTACGTGCCCTTAGCGGGAACTGAACCCGGGTCTCTCCGGACCGCAGGCCGACGCTCTAACCGCTGAGCCAAACTGGCCAGGGCAAAATTAAATATTCTTTTTTTTTTTTTTTTTCATCCTCACCCGAGGACATTTTTCCATTTTTTGTTCAGGTAGAGTGGGGGGTGGGGAGAGGAACAGAGAGAGAGAGAAACATCGATGTGAAAGGGACACATCGAGTGGCTGCCACCCGCACTACCGACCAGGGCCGGGGACAAACTGCAACCGAGGTACGTGCCCTTAGCGGGAACCGAACCCGGGTCTCTCAGGACCGCAGGCCGACGCTCTAACCGCTGAGCCAAACTGGCCAGGGCAAAATTAAATATTCTTAAAGGCTGTATAGTAAAAAGTAATTCTTCCTCCTGGGAAGTTACTATAACAATATCAGTTTCTTTTTATTCTTCCAAATATAGTCTTCTGTCTGATGTCATTTTTGGTCAATGTATTTAAACTAAGATCCTACCAATCTAAGAAGTGATCTTCATCACTCTGCCGCAGTGTAAGCAGGTCCAAGACATGGGCAAGGTTGCTCAGCTGACCCTTTAGGTATCAAACGAGGACTGGCTACATAATTTGTGGGGCCCAGTGCAAAGTAAAAAATACAAGGCCTATATTGAGCAGAGCCTTAAACCAGGTAGGGGGTCTTCTATTCGAAGAGCCCTGTGCAAATGTAGTTTGCACGCCCGTGAAGCCAGCCTGCCGACACTACCCTTAGATTGCAAGTTCACCCTGACAGGACTGAATCCAAAGCTAATACAAAGAGGCCATGGCTCCCTGTCATCTGTGACTTAGGCTAGTTGTCAGGGGCCCATCTCCTCCAGGGAGGAATTAGTGGGTTAAATGGAAAGTTGGAAACATCAGAGTGATCCCCAAACTGGGAATTCTTCTGAGTTACAGCTAACTGGCTTTTTTTCCCGGTGGAGCATTGGGGGAAGTGAGAATCATCCATTTTTATACCCCTAATGATACCAAACTTCTCAGGGTCTTTTTTTTTTGCCAGCATTTTTCACTGTCCTATTGATTGGGAAAGAATTCAATGAATAATGGTGTGATTAATCCAGATGTCTCCACCTAGACGTTCAAGGTTTGGGAGGTGGAACCTTCTAGTGAACTACATGAGTAGAAACCCGAACAGTTCAGGAAGGAGAGGACAGAACCTTGGCAGGAGCTTAGGATGGTTTGTTTACTTATTTTCTTGGCACTCTGTTGTCAAGACAACAAGATCTGTTTGCCTAGAATAGGGTTTTCTGGTGTTCTTGGAGGAGAAAACTCAAAAAGCAAAGCCAATTCCTATTTTCATATTGCTGAGAAGAAAATGGTTTGAGTGGGATGATTCTTACCACAAGAGGGGCTGAATGTCAATGAAAGACCATTGTGATGTTCTCTGCCTTGTTCTAATTCGCTTTACTAAGAAAGGCACATGGTTGATGGGGTTTTTGCTCTCTGCCAAGTATATTAATAGTTAATGCCTTTGAGTGTTTATGTGCCAGGCACTAAGCTATGATCTTTACACACACGACTGTATTTAAACCCCAAGCCCAGCCTGTGCACTAGGTTTATTATCCCCATTTGACAGCTGATGAAACCAAAGTCACTTGTCCAAGGCCACAGAGCTGATCACTATCAAAGCTGGGATTTGAACTAGGTCTGCCTGTCTCCACAGTCACTGCTTTCAACCACAAAGCTGAACGTAAACAAATGAATCAGCTGTGCTACATATCTACATTCCAGGAATTTATGGCTCTATTTGGCAAGTCAGAACTCACGAGTGAAAACAAAGAAAGGGTGGCTGAGCATCAACTAAATGCTAAAGGACATCAGAGAGGAGAGGGGACAAGGAGGGCCTGGGTCACAGCATTTCAGGAAATTTCTTCCAGAAAGAAGTGGATTTGGGCTAGAGTTTAAATTTGAATGGGCTCTTTCTTACCTTTCTCACATAATTGGCTTCTAACTTTACATAGCTGAATATATATCTAAGCTTCTGCCTGTTAGCTAGTGTTCTAATAAAACACCGGCAATTCAGTAACACGATGTAAACATATAGGGTTGTATATTTTAACATGTAACAAGGAAAGACATCGACCAATATCTATTTTGGTTTCTTTAGTAAAGCAGGGGTTGCCAAACTATTGCCCATGGGCCAAAGCTGGTATGCCACCTGTTTTTATATGATTTATTAGCTCAGAATGGTTTATACATTTTAAGTGTTTGAAGGAAAATCAAAACAATATTATTTTGTGATCTGAAAATCACGTGAAATTCAACTGTCAGTGCTGTAAATAAAGTTTTATTGGAACACAGCCCCACCCATTTATTTGTGTCTATGGCTGCTAGAATGGCAGAGTTGTTGCCAACAGACACCATATGGTCTGCAAAGCCTAAAATATTTACTATGTGGCCCTTTACAGAGAAAGTTTGCTCACCCTTGTCACAAAGTTAGACATATCCAGAACGTTCCCTATCAACCCCAGTGCATACTTTAGTGGAAGAAAATAGAAATATACAGAACTGCCCTGACCAATTTGGCTCAGCGGTTGGAGCGTCGGCCTGGGGGACCATAGAGTCCCAGGTTCAGTTCCCACTAGGCCCTGGAGGCTAGGGGCACGTGCCAAAATAAAAAAAAAAAATGTACATAACTATGTATTCACCATTCAGAAGTGACTGTTAACATTTCGCAGTTTGCTTCCAATCCATTTATAAGTAAAAGGCATAAAACGTTATAACATTCATCAAATGACTGGAACACGTTTCACGGATCCATTCCCCTGAAGACATTTAGGACGGTTCCCAGATTTTTGCCATTCCCAACAAATGCGTGCATGCCGAAGAACATCGGGAGGGGTGGTCTAGACTGTACGCGCCCTGGCAGCCTGGAAATGCCAGAGAAGCTAAACAAAAGCGTCCTGGGAATCCACTCAGTTGAGAAGGGGACTTTGAACTTTTCCTTAATTTGGCCCTTGACTCCCCTTTAAACTCTTGGTTCCCCTTTTCGCTGCTTGGTAGGGTCCGTGAGACACCCCCTGGGTAACTCTGGGTTCAGGGCTGGGTTTCCGCTACCACCCGAGGCGGGCAGGTCTGGCAGCCCCGGAGGTCTGCTCTCCCCTCCCCCACAGCGCCGATCGCCAGCGGGGACACTGAGCGCACCCCAAGGCTCCAGCACAGCAGGGCGCTGGAAGGGGTAGCATGTTTGGCAAGAACGTCTTCCATACACAGCACCCGCGTCTTCGGGGAAAGCCAGGCTTCCTCGGCTTTCGTGTAGATCCAGGCGGAGTGTGGGTGGGGCAGGTACGCGGTCCCCCAGCCTCGGGCGGGCCCTGAGCGGTGATCGGGAGCGAGGTGGGTGAGGAAGGGGGTTCCCCGGAAGGGGTGTCCCGCAGCCCGGGGGAACTTTCCCGGGCTCGGCCTCCGCGCCGCAGTTCCCGCGTCTGGCTAACAAAGCTGAACCGTCCTCCGAGGGGTGCCGCGGCCGCCG